TACTTAAGCGTAATGAAAGAAATTGGAATGATCCATTAAATTTTAATCCCGATAGGTTTTTACAGGACAATAGAGACAATTTACATCCTAATTATTTATTCCATTCAACGATAGACCTAAAAACTGTATAAGTAATTACATATTTTTGTAGATTATTGAAATTGCATTCCAAAAAGTTATACGATAAAGTATATTTAAAATTGATTTCACTTTTTTAGGTTATAAATACGTCACGTTTCAAATGAAAATAATTATTGCTACAATCATAAGAAAATTAATTATTAAAATAGATAAGCTGGTAGCCATTGAAGACATTAGTATAAAACGAAATCTCATGTTAAAGCCTATAAAATCTATTAAATTAACATTCGACTAAGGATATTAATTGAAATTATTATAAACTTTTGGTGAAAAATCAGTGAGGCATTCTTCTATATACATTTTTGAAAATAAATAGTTTCTATCATACGATCTAATGCTTTTATCAACCCATCTATTAATTTAGTTAATTAATGTAGGATATTTTTCGAAATTCTACCTAGAAGATACGGACTGACTAACTCGGATTACTTATTTTTAGTTAATATGTACTTTATTAATACAGATATTATAATTAAAGTATTACAACTCAAGATACTAAAACTCTTCTCTCTTTTCTTAACGTAATCAAGGCTTTACTTTACTCTTTGTTGGTTCACTCAGGATTATACGCAATACTCTTAATTCTGCTCTCTGATCTTTCTCCTCTCCTTGGTCTATTCAAAACTGTCCTTCTGTTGTTCTTTTTCAATCATGTATACTTCATAGCCTTTCTTATCCCCATTCATATTCGTGCATACGGATTCAATAACTTATTGCTCTTTTGTTCTACTTCTTATTTTAAAAATTCTTGTAATTCTTGAAAATTCAGAAAATTATAAAATTTTGGAAATATGTTAAGTATATGTACATATGTATTATCTTTTTTTGTACTGTTCAAATTCATTCAGAGGTAATAAAATTGTCCCCTGAAAATTCGGCTTTATTTCGATTTTATATTGTAATTAGCAAATGGTTTCAAATAGAAAGAAAGTTTGTAGACTAAAGTTACTTTTTTTACTTAGGACTATAATTTTGTAAGATATTTATCGATTATTTATATAATTAAAAAGAAGTAATAAGTAAAAATATGAATAATGTTTTATAAGATTTATTTTTTTCATTCATAAGGAGCAATATTCTTTTGACATTTACTATAAAATAGTATAGAATATTAAAGGAAAAAATAAAATAATTTATACAGTATGGTACCTCTTTTTATAGTCTACTATAGATATTTATAATAAAAACTTACGTTGACTCTGTAATGAACGTAACGTGTAATATTAAATATGGCGTTTATAAATCATACAAATATAATTCATTTACTTATGATGCATTTGAAATTGTGAATAATAATGAGTCATCTAATAATAGAATAGAAATGGACTTACATGACGTAATAAAAAATATACTTATTAAACCGCAAGAAGAAACTTTAATTTCTTGGAAACTCATGTGTTAGTTGATTGTTTGGAACCATTTCTCTGAAAGACCACATTCTTTGAAAGTTTCGTATTTACCTAAATATGAAGAATTTTTAAAAGGAAGTATTGTGATTCTAAAATATAAAAATAATCTTGTTGAATTTTGTAAGAGCAGTTAGAGGTTTCTATAGTATCTGTCAAACATAAACTTCTAGAAGTTTCATTTATATAACAATTGTATATGAGATGGTTCGTTAACAGTATAACATTATGTTAAGATGATTTTCTTTTTTCCATTGAAATGGATAAAGGATACTAGTAAGACAAAGCAAATTTTTACAAAATCTGTTTTTTGGAAAATGACAGCTGCCTAAAAGTAAAAGTATTATTTTCGATCTGAATTTTCGTTTTCTTTTGTTAATAACGAAAAAGATGTTATTCGATAAAACGCTTCGATAAGTATTAGATAATTTTAGAAATTAATTTGTTCAAAATATTTGAATCAATTCTATATATCTGAGCGATTTTGAAAACCATGTTTCAAGAAAAACTCATTTAAATTATTAATTAGCCGTTTCCATTAGAAGTAGATAGGAAGTCTAAGTTAATTATTTTTAAATAAGCGTTAGATAACGTCTATCTTCATCTGTTGAATATTGAATTTACTTCGTTTATTATTATTAATTCGAATGTTTCATTTTTTCTTCATTCTTTTCTTGCAATCATTTTTAGGTTGCTACTCTCCGGTTACGCTGCCCCCCAAAATCAGAACACAAAACAGATTCATATTTGAGGAATAGCTCTCGGGTAGTAATATTCCTCTGTTTCTGTTTAAAATCGCTTTCTGACAATTGAACCATGCTATAAGATAGCGACTTTCAAGCACAGTGAATTAGTAAGAAATAGTCTCAAAAGTAAATCGCGATAGTTTTAGTCTTAAAACTGTTCACTACCTTTTATTCAAGGCGTGTGTGACTTCAGCGACAAGTATGGACAAAATATGAATTAGTAATACAACCCCTGTTCCCTACCCGTGCGTCTATCGTATCGATATATAAGGTTTTCATTGAATTGACACATATAAAAATTAGTATATAAATCTGCGATAAAAAATAAGAATTTGTCGAATATTTTCATAAAAATAATTAATGAATACTTGTATATTACTTTAATACGAATTAAATGAGTTCATGTCCACACTACCTATAGAATAGAACTCTCAGCGCTTTTTCTACGTGGTTTCTCCTATAGGACTAGTCTACTCTATACTACTTTGACTGTTACTACATTATTACTACTACTACTGATAATAATAATAATAATATAATATAATATAAAATAATGTAATATAATATAATATAATATAATAATAATAATAATAAAAATGTACTTAAATATTATTTATATACATCTAGATATTGTTTAATACATTTTATATTATACTAGTAAAAACAATTAGTTTCGGCTGATCATGAGTAAGAAACAGTGTGGTGACAAATTCATAATGATCATAATAACGGTAATAAGATAAAGAGAAACGATAGGAAACAAAAGCAAAATAAACATTTCGTACTGTTCCTCATATGTTATTTGTATTAGACGTATCTATCAATGGGCGGTCATGTGTAAAAATTATCAAGGACATGATTTATTGTGAGTTTGCACGTCAAACCAGCACGTAAAATGATACATTTTTCCTTCTTTTGTTACAATAAATTATTATATTATTATAATATATAATTATTATTTTATATTAGTCTTCATATGTGTCATGATATATAAATATAAGTATATTCTTCTATTTCTTCTTTATTTTTTTATTAATGTTCTTATTTGTATATTATAATATTACGTATTATTATTATAGTAATAGTAGTAGTAATTGCAATAATATGAAGTGAATTCCTACAGAGAAAACCATAACAAAATAGGCTCGAAAAATCTCAGTGGGTAATGTGGAAATGAACTCGTGTTTTGATCTTTATTAAAAATAATATATAATATATATGTTCACTAATTATTAATTTTGAAACAATAATCGATAAATCTATATACTTCATATGCATTTCTCATTGAACAAAATTATATTGCTGCTGTGTCCTACTTGAGTTTTATCATACGTTGGAAAAGTTGAAATAAAAAAAGAAATTTTACTTGCAAAATCTAGCTATTTGTTTTATAACTTTTTCTATTTTGTTTCTTCTTTCTTTGTTTACTTTCTTTTTTCCTTAAAAAATTCTGTTGTGTATTTTTTTATATATTTTAGTTATATGTATTTAAATATAAAAGTAATTAAAATATTTGAGTCTATGATATTTTGTAGAATTTAATTATTCAGTGTCTAGCATAATATTACAAAAGTATTGAATAATGTCTATTTTCAGACGTAGAATAGAATATTTGCATAAAAAGAATTACAAATAATTTATAAAAAACAAATTATTATTTAATAATAATCTAACATAAATAAATAAACAAATTGATTATATTATGTTATACCAATTATTTTCGTACTTTTGAAAAAAATGATAAGTAGTATATTTTGTTTATATTTATGAATAATATATTGACTTTTTCGCCTTGACAATGCGTCATTTAAATCATTGCTAGAATGTTCGATCGCTTCCTATGCAATTTTTGACCTTCAAAATAGTTCTCTTAGCCTACACTCGATCATTCTTCAGAAATAGCAATTTCTGATATCAATTATTATCTATGCCATCATCTTTAGATTCATTATTTACAACATCTAATAACTAGTGTTTTACATAATTCGCAGAGATCGAAGTTTATCTCATATTTGTCAACTTTATGAACTATGTATCTATTTTTGTGCAAAATGCGAATATGGTCTTAAATACTTACAATTACTTGCAAATTTCAATCCAGGACTTTGTTGCGTTTATCTTATTACTATCAAATGGTCTTCACGATAATTTGTATATTTAGTTCACTTTTTATCAAAAATTCTTTTATTTTTTTGTTATATTTTCGCTATATTTTTTTTGGCACTCTCGCACAGTTCGTCTTTCTCGGTTTGAAATTTGGTAATCCTCTCACCTTCTAATAAGACACAAATTTCAGGATCGTCTCGCAAATGCGCATGGACCTTGAACAATAGATTAAAGGTAATGATTCTTATACTTCTATTATCTTTACTATTCTATGAATGGTGGTATTAAGATGCTATTGTACACGTTCAAGATAATGATACCACTCTTCTTTTCTCGGATCGGTGAGTTTCGTTAACAATGATATTAACGTACAACCCATGCATTCTACTTGCTTGTTCGCTCTAGAAATCCCGATAGTGATAAGTACATATTCAATTTTCTCGGCGCAAGGTCTTTTGATTTAACTACATCTCTTCTATCGGAAATTATTCTACGCGAATTTCCAGATACAACAGATTGTTTTCGAAAACGATCTATTATTTTGTTCGCAGCGATAGTTTTAGTCGTATAAAGCCACATAAATTTTGAAAACATCCATAACTTTTTTATTTATTTTTTTTTATATTAACTCCAAATTAAAGTCTCTTCAATCTGTCGAATGAGAGATTCGACTAGTTGAATTAGCAAATAAGGGTAACATATGAGTGCTATGCCCAATAGAGTAGCACTGATGCAGTGATCATATTCAGGTATCCATATTAGATACTATGATTATTTTTTCTTCAATCTTTTCATGACGTTAACAGTGTACAAGGTGTTGGCTAATAGGTTTGGATGATTTATTTTTCCCTCTCTGCAGCTGCTGGAAAGTTGCTGTATTCCCTCTTTTACAATGAGGATTTGTAGGTCTCAACGTAGTTTTTCGTTTTTTATGTACCATGATGCTTCTACTACTGTATGTAGTGTGATTGATTGTATAATTTCCATTTTGTTGACATGACCTTTTGCTGATGTACCCCATAATTGTTTGCCGTATGTTCAGACAGATTTTATTATGGCTTTATAGATTAATAATTTATTGTTTGTATTTAGTATCGAACGGCAGTTGATTAGACAACACATGCCCTTTCTTAGAATTCTGATTCACTGAATTTTTTTATTTATGTGCTTTTTCCACGTAAGTTTGCATCTACGTGGAGTCCTAGATATCTGATGTTCTTTACCTGTAAAGTTTGATTTCTGAGATAATGCCTTTGCGAAGGGTAAAAGTGATGTAACTACATTTAAGTGTTATTACATTATAGTTTACATTAATTCTTTTCTTTTTCAGTCATTCCTCCAGTAGATTTATATGATCTTCTATCTGCTTTATTTAGATTTTCATGAATTGTAATTATTCCGGTATCGTCCACAAATGTGCATGTTGTGCTATTTGGGGTTGTTGGAATGAATGTTTATTACATATAAAGTCTAAAGTGTCTGTCCCAATACACTTGCTTGTGATATTCCTGGATTTATGATTTCATATATCGAGTTTTTGATTTTTACCTAAAAATCTATTTTCAAGATAAGATTTAAGTAGTTGATAGATTGCATCTGGAAAGTGCTGTTTTATAGTTAACATGAGACCTTCATTCCCGATCTTGTCGAATGTTTTCTCTATATGTAGAAGTAAGCATATACTGTATTTATTTTTACGATTGTAGCGTTCCTTTCTCTGAAATCAAATTAAGGGTTTGGTATTATCTCTTTACTGTTAATTATTTCCTTGATTCTAGTTAAAAGGATTTTTTTATATAGCTTAGGTAATATTAGTAAAAACGAGACCAGTCTTTCTAATACTATCTATAAAGATCGTGTACGTTTTTATTTGGTTTAGACACCATTATTATTTTAGACAATTTCTATAAGCTGGGGTAATGCTGGATTCTGAAAATGGCGTTGAATATGATAGTATTCATTCTGATGGCTTCGTTCAGAAGTTTTTTGATTATTTTGCCACTGATTAAATCGAATCTCGGAGATTTTAGTTTTAATTATTATCAGTCGTTTTATTTCTTTCTTTGTAATACTGCATATCGTGATGTATTATCCTTCATAAAAGATAGTATTGCTTGTTAATTTTGTTATTGTTGCTAGACATATTGTTATTACATTAGGTTGAAAAGTTTGATGAAAATGTTCTGCAAATGTTGAAATTTGTTTCGAAGAACTTTTTCTCCAAAAGCCGTTTAGTTTTCTTAATACTGGTATCTACACTATTAATTTTTTAAGTCTCCTTACAGCCTTCCACAGTGTGTAATTTTCATTTAGTGTCAAATTTTTGAGGTATTGAGTGAATTATTTACTGTGATGCTCCTTTAGCATTTTTTTTAACTTTTTTGATAAATTAATTTTGTTTTCTGCTGTTTTATACTGATGCTATTTCGATTATTCTTTCCTTTTTGGTGTAATATGTAATTCGGATATAAGAAGCCTATTATGCTCTTGCCCATGAAAGAAGTGTCTAAGCTGTTTCTTGGATTATTTGTATTATTTGTATTAGTGGCGTAGTCTACTACGTTTTTAATGAGCATAGGTCTTTTTAATGGGATATTACAATTTAGATTTTTGTTAATTTGTACTCTGAACCTGTTCCAGTCAATGATATTATTGTACAAGCGGATATTCTATTGGTAGATTTTGTCTGTATTCTAACAGTATAGAAATGTAATCAGAGCTCGACGATAACGTTAGCTGTATTCTATTTATTCCTTTAATGATAGCAGAATATATAATTTTTTGATTGCCTGTGGCTAGTAAGTGAGTTCACCAGTTAATATTAGTATTAAAGATAATTTGTCTATGACTTGAAGTAGTATTTTATCCCTGGATGTTATTTTTTTGGAGCCCCAGTGTCTGTGTTTGGCATTGTAATCCCCTATGTATATCGGGGGATTGATTATGGTTTTGTATATTGTGTTCTTTTCTTACTTGTTTGTAAATATTCTTTGCACGTAGGTTCTATTACTTACGTACAACGATTGAACATGGTTAATCATCAGTGTATGTATTAAATTGTATGCCTCGGTATTTGATGAATAATTGTTGTTTATTTCCAAAGAAAATTGTTCGATTCTTTTCCTTAAGGTAAGGAAGAGTTTCAATTGTAACTGCTTATGGACTGCGCAACCTTTATAATTTGCGAAATGTTTCTTATGATAATTGCTACATTTCAGATTTTCGATTTTTCCTTGCTGTGGACATGATTTTGTAGGGTAATTGCCTATATATTATACACAAACTGGAAGTCTGTTGCAGTATTTTTTTGGTGCCTTGACAGCGATAGCATTATGGTAGATCACGGTTCATAGCTGATGGTAGTGTTTAATAGTTTCTCTATATTATATATGTAAATCTTTTTTTTCGATGTTTGGCTCGAGTTCTATAGTAAAGAAAGGTAGTGGCTGTTCGGCGTCATATTTAACTATGCTTTTTATTGTTCTGATAGTGTTGCTGTATTGCAGCAATTTTTTAACGATTTTATTTGCATTCGTTTTTGAATGTATTTCGCGAAGTATTACTTTATAACTATGATCTGTTTTGGTTTAATAAATATGAAAATTTGCATTTTTGCATTTGAGAGTGTTTATTATTTTCCTGTAAAGTTCTAGCGAATTAAGTTGAATTTTTATTTGACTGTATTTTAGTTGTTTTAAACTAAACTTTGAGGTGAAATTATTGTTGCCTGCTTGTTACTCAGTGGTTCAATAGTTTTTGCTTGTATATATATATATGGGAGGAGGTTTAACTGTTTCAATTATATTAGTGGCATCGATTGGAGTGTTCTCTACTTCTAGTAGCACGCTAAAGGAATTGTTTGTAGATATTTCTTGTAAACACGTGGCTGAGAGCTTAATATAGTGTCTGTGACTTCGATATCTGGGTGGATTCTTTCTTTTTTGTTAATAGTGGTATTTATAGCAGTGTTGAATGGCTTACTTGAGTATATTTCGACATTTTGATTGTAATATTAAGTATATTCTGTGAGTTATAACTATTTCCTAGTTTTGAGAATTTAACCAGAACTACTAAATGTATATTGTCATCTATCTCTTCTAATAATTTCATTTAATTACGTATTCGGCGGCTTCTTCCCTCTTGGCAAGAACAGCACATTAGGATCATCCTATAACCATAAAGAATCTTTATTGTGCTCGATCACTAAACACGAAGGTAACGGATAATGATTCAATGCGTCTACATGGACTATATTTTTACGGTGCCTATGTTCAATCATAAAAAATTTTTCTAATGCTAATGCCCAGTGGAATATACGCACATAGAAATCTCTCTTATTCAGAGTGAGTATAAAGGTTAGACAATCTGTAATAATTGTAAATTGTATACCGCATAAATAAATCTTAAACTTCTCAAATACTTTGATTATTGCGAGAAATTATTGCAGCTAATTTACTTTTCTTCGGATGGCATCATTCTACCGTTCGAATAATAAAAAGGGTAGAACGCTCATTTTTTTTCAATTTACTGCAATAATATTGCCCCGAATCTGTAATTTGAAGCAGTGCCATGTAACTCACTTTCGACTCCAACTCTATATAGATCCAACATCAACTAACAATACAATGTCTCTTCTAGTGTAAGAAATGCTTTCCTCTTACTTTCCCCTGAACTGATATCTTACATCCTTTCTTAAAAAATTTGTTAATAGACACTGTTGATTGTATACGAGAGCGTTTTAAGAGGCGCATCTCGCACCGGACCAGCGATGACAGTCAATTCGCACGGAGGTGTCTCCCGTCTCGTCCTTGTTGTTCGAGCTATAGACCCACTGGTCGCGATGAATAAGGGCGGCGGTATTAGACTAGAATATCGTTGTAGACCGTCAGCAAAATACCGCTCACCGCGTTCCCGCAAATTAATGGGAGAACGCGCGTTCTTTTAAAGGATCCCATGGGAAATTGAGAAGTAAATGCGCGATACTAAATGATGCGCGCTATGTAAATCTCACTGTGTTTTTGATTAAATGAGTTACAATTGTTTGTGTGTTTCGTATATGATATGAAATTAGTTATACTGGTTGCTTCTGAAGGAGGCTTGAGAGTTTAGATGTTGTGAGTCTGAAAGATGGAACTTAACTGCCTTTTGGCGTCTTTAGAACTACCCATGTAGACTGAAATGATATTGGAAAAGTGAATAAAAAGGGCGGAGTTGAAATATGGAAAGGGAAAGAATAAACGCCCATTGGTCGGGGATAGTTTGTTGGAATGTTTAAACATGTGTTTCCTCTTCGTTCTAATGATCGTGTGACTAAAGGATGCCAATGGATATGTCAAAGCTAGAAGCCAGATAACCCTTGACTTATCGCGCCTAGGCGTCTACTTTCGTTATTTACTTATTGGCCGGATTGACATATTATCAAAATCTAGATACTTTACTAAGAATGCCTAGGCTCAGATAAAGGTGTTTTTATCTATGCGTTTTGTTAGTTAATATCCAATAGGTTCCCACGGGTAAATATTTCCAATGGTGATATATGATTGAAAGTGCCGTGAACAATGGAGAGAACAATGAAGAGACGTATGCATTAACAGCCTCCCTTCCATGATTCTGCATTTCTCGATCTTATGCAAAATGCAATCAGGTAAAACCTGCAATCTTGATGATATTAGATATTAGATATTATATATATTCATTTTTGATATATTTTTCAAATTTTTCTTTTGATTTACCAATTATAATAATTCTGTATAAATTGCCTTCTTTTGACTATTTTTAATTAAGCTTCTCATTTAGTTTTATGTTAAGCACCAAGATTTTTTTTTTTTTATAACTCCCAAGAATTTCCCGGCAATGTGTCACTTAAGACATTCAGCGAGTTGTTTTACGGAATTGAGGGTACCACGTGAATGCTATTCCCAGTGAAATAGCACTATTATAATATCTTGTTGTTCCAGACTTGCGTAACTAGATCTTGAGACCTTTTTTTTAAGTCTTCTTGCTTTATTGTTGTTGTAGAGAGTATTGGCTAGCGGGTTAGGGTAGTTTAGGGTCCTTGATTTATATTTGTCAGATATCTTTTGTATTTTTTGGTACTGCTGGGATTTATAAATCTTTACATAAGTCCTCGTTTTTGACATACCATGGCGCGTCCATAATTGTGCGGATTATTATTGATTGCATAGCTTCCATTTTGGAGATATGGCTTTTAGTTGCAGTGCCCCATAACTGGATGCCGTACATCCAAATAGGCTTTATTATTGTTTTGTATATTAATAACTTATTTTCTATACTTAGTTTAAATTTTCGGCCTGTTAACCAGTAAATGTCTTTTCTTTTTAGTTTAATTTGTAGTATTTTTTTATGAATGTGTTGTTTTCTTGTTAGTTTAAAGTCAAGGTGCAAACCCAAATATTTGATTGATTTTGTTTGCGGTATTTCATTATTGTATATAGTGATTGCTGGTAGTTTGCCTTTGCGAAGAATGAATGTAATGTGATTGCATTTATTGTAGTTGACTTTAATTTTTCGATCTATCAGCCATTTTTCAAGCAATTTTATGTAATTTTGCAAGATTATAGCTGCTTCTTGTGGATCTTCGTGTGTGGTTAAGATTGCAGTGTCATCGGCAAATGTACTTAATAGTGTCTTGCGTTGTCGGGATATCCGCAGTGTAGAGTGTATAGAGGTCCGAACCCAGTACACTTCATTGTGGTACACTGGCAAATATTACATGTACAGCTGAGTGCGAGTCTTTAACTTTAACGTAAAAGCTTCTATTGTTTAGGTATGATTTAAGTAATAGATAAATTGGTACTAGGAAGTGTTGTTTTATAGTTTTCAATAAACCTTCATGCCATACCTTGTCAAAGGCTTTTTCTACGTCTAAGAATAGACATGTACAGTATTTCTTGTTTTCCATAGCAGTTGTTATTTCGTTAATTAATCTGTGGACCTGTTTAGTTGTAGCATGTTTCTCCCTAAAGCCAAACTGATGATCGGGTATTAATCGTTTTCTATTAATTATTTTTTTAACTCTAATTAATATTTTTTCTAAAAGTATGGATACAATTGGTAATGAAGAAAGAGGTCTGTAAGAGGATGGTTCATGAATATCTTTATTCGGCTTAAGCAGCATTATTATTTCTGCCAGTTTCTATGAGTCAGGGAAGTAGAAGAGTTTAAATACGGCGTTAAATATTATGGTAATCATTCTGATGGCTTTTTCTGGGAATTCTTTAATTACTTTCCCATTAATGAGATCAAAGACTGGAGATTTTTTAGTTTTTATTGTATTTATCAATTGCTTTATTTCTTTTTTTTGTGGTCTTATTATATCAAGTTGTTTTGATCTTTGCTATCAGTACTATCGCATACGGTTGTAGCATTTACTGTCGTTGCCATACTATTTGGCTGAAAAGTTTGATATAAGTGGTTGGCAAATGTCTTGGCTTGTTCCATAGACGTCTTTGCCCAAGATCCGTCTAGTTTTCGCAATATTGGAGTTTGGATTATTGGTCTTTTTAATTTTTTTGTCGTCTTCCAGAGTGGGTAGTTTGTATCTTCATTTGGCGTAAGAGATATTTGCTAAACCCGGAATTACAGTATTCTTTTATCATTATTTTAACCTCTCTTGTGAATGCATTTAATTGCCTTTTATTTTCTTCTGTTTTATGCCTTTGCCATTTGTATTTATCTTGCCATTTGTATCTTTCTTTTTTGTTTAATTTTCTGCAAAACATAGACTGGATATGAACAGCTCGTTTTATTTTCTTGTGTATTAGGAGTAAATAACCATGCTGACTCTTGAATTATTTTTGTTATGTAGTCCACAGCATTCTCGATGTGTTCTTGTGTTTTTAGAGAGATTTTGCAATTTAGTTTTCCGTCAATAATTGACCTAAATTTATCCCAGTCCGCATTTCTATTATATAATTTGAGTTTAGCTTCTATGTGGATTGATTTTTGTAGAAATTCTATCAGTATAAGTGTGTGATTAGAGCTCAGTTCTGTGCTTGAGATTAATTTTAAGTGTGTCTTGTTCAGTCCTTTAGTTATGGCGAAATCTAAAAGATCTGGTGAGTTGTTTGATGCTGCTGGCACCGATTGATAGTGGTGTTAATGATAATTTCTGTGTGATTTCGAGCAGTGTTTTATCCCTATGTGAAGCTCTTTTTGATCCCCTATATTTGTATTTAGCATTGTAGTCTCCTATTGCTATAAATTTGCTTCCTAAACTTTTAAAGAAGTTTGAATATTGTTCTTGAGTAATTTTATGTTTTGACGGTGAATATATAGTCAATATTTGTGTTTCTTCAGTTATGGTTTCTAGTGTAATTGTTGCTTGTAGATAG